AATGTCTGGTAAAAGCCACCCAGACAACTTTCTTCTCGAAGTCTGGTTGACCTGCCTGTAAAGATTTACCCCCTTTTTTTACTGCCAAGGCCTGATTCTCCAATCAACTTCACCTCGCACACACTGTTGTCTCGCAGACTTTTGCGGGGATGGGGGTGATGGAGTCTGAGAGCAGGGCGGTTGTAGTGGGCGCCGAACAGGGCGCCTGCGGATTTTTCCACATCTTCCAATCTCTGTCTGGCACAAACACAGACGCTCAGGAGGGATATGAACAAGAAAGAACAGTTTACATAAAAAAAACACAGAGGAATTTCAGCTGGCCACAGGACTGGTGTTGGTGGTGGTCGTTCGAGAGACGAGTTGGCGGGAAAACATGGGGTTTCAGGGGTTTGTGCCGGACAACAACACGTAGGGTTCCTTTGCATTCGGCGGCTCATTGCTCCTCAGCTTCTTTATTTGTGTCTCGGTGTCTGTCATAGGAAGTAAGAGCAAACTCTTTTTCTCCTCCTCCTCCTCCTCCTGCTCCTCCTCCTCCTCCTTCCTCGGAGAGAACTGCTCTTCTCCTCTCGGTGGTGGCGGCGGTGGAGGCGAGGGTAAACAGGGTCTTCCTCGTCGGCTTGGAAAGGTCCGCAACACCCTGCTGTTACCGTACTCACCGGACTCCGTGCTCTGAGTGCTCACTGTGCAGTTCTCGTCAACAGATGGGCTCTGTGGTGGCACCTGGGATGGAGTGCAGCCCGCGAAAGTGTAGTCATTGGCTACCACCGTAGGGCGCGGCGCCATTGCAGCAGCTCCCGCAGGCAGCGTGTCCGGCCGGTGACAGAGGATGATACCGGTCTCTCCAGCAGGCAGACGAACCAGCATTGGCGTAACCGCGTGATAACTGGAGGCACTGAGATCGTCGTAGATGGTCGTGCTGACCGTGCTAGGTGGATAGGGATGGCCATAGCTCAGTCCCCGCAACTGATCCTTCGAGTGGCCTGCGGACCGGCCCATCGCGGCTTCATGAGCCTCCTTTGGGGCAGCAGCCCCCTCAGGCGTCTTTAGGCAGTAGACGGGCGGCAGGATGTGACCGGAGGCAGAATCACCGGACAGAAAGTACTCTCTGCTGCCCCTCGCGCTGGAGGTGATGCTGAGGGTCTCATTGGACAGGGTAGCTGCAGCGCAAGTAGGAACGGTAGGGCCAGATCTTAGGCCTCCTCCCGCTGATGATGATGTTGACAGACGGACGGGCAGGCCCCGGTCTGATTGGCTGCCTGCAAGTGAACGCACATCACTTCCGCTACCGCCACGGCCGACGTAAGGGCGGACGTGGGCGTAGGGTTCGGGGAATTTGGAGGAACAGTCACTGTGCGGCAGGAAAGTGACCGAACCCTGAGGCTGGTAGTAGTAGGGAGCAGGTTGCACGGGCAGAGGGTGTACCGTCACTTCTGGCCTCTGATAGGACTTGTCAGATCTTGATTCGAGGCAGAGCAACCTACCCAGACCATGATCTGGCTTGCCTCTCTTGAGTGAATCTACACAAAAGACCAAATATGCAAAGTTTCAGTCATTCAGTTAGGGTAAACTCGTTCAGAGCAGGAAACCTCACATGGCTTGTCTTTGGCTGCATGCCAAGGTACAATGTGTAACAGTGGCTTTTGGCCGTAAGTCTACCAATTTGGGAAACGAACTCACCAAAGTAGGAGCTGGTGAGGCAACAACGCACAAAGAGGGCGGAATTCACAAGCATCGTGAGAACGACCACAATGATCAGCGCCAATATAACTTCCGGTCGCGTCTTGGATAGAACTGAAATTCAACGCAAACAGGTCATGACTTAGCAATTGGCATTATGAACCCAGTTTTTGTAGTCGCAATTAAAGGCCTCATGACGGTTCACATGTGTTCATCTTGAGGTGGTCAGATATTCAGGAAAAAACTGTTCTAGCCCAATCTAATCTGCCCGTTTAAATATGAGCGTGTTGGTGCAAATTCAGGTGCATTCGTTTCGAAGACCGTAGGGTATTCAACGAAATTAACGCAAAATTAGCCGATATTAACTGGTGAGTTTTCAAATGAGAGGGTGAAATTAAATGCGCTTGAAAATGCTTAATGGGAAACAGTATCCCGCGTTAATTCCTACATCACAGCATGCAGACGACAAAGCACGTTGCACCCTAGTCAGCTATGTGAATGCCACATTGTGTCCTGTAAAATAAATTTCTTAAGAAAAATGTCCAAAATCCATTTTATACTCGACTCGGTTGCCTTTCAACAGGAATATCCAGTCTTGATACCATCAACTCTGCGCTTTGCCTTCTTTAGTCAGACTGCAAGATTTTCTTAGAATTTACTTACTTGCTAATATGTTGAGTCCGCTCTCCCCTTTATGCTCTGCGGGACCTTTTGAAGCAGAGAGTTCACCATCTACAACAAGAATGCAAATATGATATAATACCAGTCAAATATACTGCAAGATACACCCTTCAAAAATTAACCGCGCTCCAACCTGTCGTTGGGAAATGGTAATGCGTAGATTTAGGCAGAAACTTACTGCTTCATATAGTTACCTGCAACAGAACTATCTTAGATATCATTAGCGTGAACCGTTAGACAAAATTAGAGACGATCTCGTTGGACGGAATAAGTGGCTGCAATGGGAAAAAAATATTCTCGCCTGCCTCCGTCGGGGGACATTCCGCCTACCTTCATCCAGGTTTAACCTCCAATCAAAGCCCTTTCATAAGCATGTTCGTTCAACACGGTTTCATGGCGGAAATGGCAGGTGATTGCGTTGAATCAAGTGAGGAAGTCATGACATGTTGATCGATATTCTGAAACGTGTTTTTGGGGTCGTATCGGTGATTATCATGCAGTATTATCTCAAGATATTTCAGTCGCGCCAGGAGGCCGAATTGCTGATAAGCTTTTCGTCAGCCTGCGGGAACCACATTCGGAAAAAACAGCTCTTCAAGGAAATCTTTGACTCTGTTTTACAAAAAGCACATTTGCATTGATAGGGACCTCGAAAGTGGATGCAAACATGCATGCTACTTAAGTGGTTTTTACGGAGTAGAGTTTCCGCAGACTACCAAAAAGAAACTCATTCGAAAGCTGGCATTTTGAGGCGACTGAAATATTTTGAGATTCTGTCGCATGATAATCATTATTTTGGCCCCACCATAACAATCCTATCTGACCAAAAACGCATTTCAGAGTTCAAACTAACATTTCTTGTGGAAGGCTAATTATTGGGGGTTTTGACATCCCTGTAGTAAACACATGAAGGCATGTGAAGTCTATAGTGATTGCCTCAAAGCCGAGCCGTTTCAAAGGCATCGCGGCGACTATGATGGAAAATGCCAGTTGAAACAGCGGATGCAAAAACATCGAACGAAAAATTTAAAAGAACGCTGTTTTTACTATGCGACGATACACAATATCTCTAGTTGTTGGCAGCGTCAGATATGCGAGATATTTCCATAGCAAAAATATGTCCTTTTTTTATTCTTCTTCTTCGTTTTCTTCGAAGTTCGACTTTCTTTCCTGCTTGAATGCGGACAGTTTTAAACGACAGAGCACTGGGAGATCGCTGGGCCAATTGTATCTTTGAGACAACGGCGGGAAGATTGGGTTGAGAAAAGGCACTTTAACCAAAAAACCTCTATCTGTTAACAAACATTATTTGGCGGAGAGCTCTCCACCACAGAGTCACAGGGCAGTTGTCCTATCTTCTGCGATCGAGGATATTAATTACGTCGGATTTGCATTGGTCTATCCGAACATGATCGTCCCACTGTGGCTTGAGACTCAATTTAGAGTCTCAAGGCGCAGCCGATTGGTGATCTCAAACCAACAGGACAACTGGTCCATGGCTCATTTGAAAGAGCATTCGACTCAGTGATCAAAGATCCCGGATTTAAACTCCAAGCGCTCCAAGTCTGGGGTTAAGAATGGTCTCTGATGACGACGAATAGGCCACCGCAGTCTTCCTTGTCTTTTATGACATTCCTTACTGCGTGTATGAACAAGCCTTCTGACCCGATCGGTGAACGCAACCCCAACATATTACAGTGAAACAGTTTTTCAGTATTTTCCGCAGTAGTAAGTAAATTGGAGAAAGTTAAATAACTCGCGGTCCTTGAATCATGATACCACAGCATGACAGCAGCAACGGCAACATTTAATTTCAGTACAGACTAGATTGCGTTCAGCCGGCGGATTTTGCGGTTATTTGATGCAAACTCATAGCTGATGGCTCTAGAAGTGTGAGCAGTCAATTTTTACAAATTTAGAATACTTCTGGGCAGGAAAGCAACGGCATGACAAGGCTTTCATTTTTTTCATCTGTTAATCACGACAACTTCGGCCTCACCCCAAATCCATCCTCTTGCTGGATTTAGTTGTTCCCCTTCTAGGAAATAAAGGCATACATCAAGTTATGAGACACTGACGAGGAAGCAGACCTACCCTTTGGGCAGCCTATTTTTCCAAACTAAGGACATTTATTTCCCACTGCCCTTCGTTTTGAATAACGTGCTTCTTTGCTGCCACAGTCAGTGAAGTTGAACTTCAATGCAGCTCGTCTCTCTTCTGGTTTGAACAATTTTACCGCGACCATATTCGTAATATGGGCAAAGTCTGCTTTCCCGGACACTCTACTTTGGACTATATGTACAGGTATGAAATACTGACAATGAGTCTGGAGATTGCCACAAAACTTTACCTATTAGAGGCAATGGGTCGACGAATAGATAGGCTTATTTCGCCTGCACTTTGCCAGGCATGCGTAGTGGATCAGACCTCGGCAATCAGATGCAATTTTCAGTATATTCTGAAGACCTGACCTACAACATGCGGGGCAATTAGTATGATTAATCTGCCAAAAGTACGCCATCGGTTAGCAAGACGGCCTCGTGGAGGGGGCGGCTTAGTCAATCAGAGCGCAGGACCGGAGGAGGGCGGGGGAGGGGTGGAGGCGAAACACACCCACCAAAATTCCAACTGGGGTTTCTATCAGCAAGACCTGATACCCGTACAGCTTTCGTACATGCGCCGACAGGAACCCATCACGGCGAGTAGTAGACATACTCTAAATGCAATAATGACATTTGGAAGATGGTGCTGCACCTGACCAAGTGTCGGTTATATGCAAAAGGGCCCTATTAACAGTCCCCCTTCTTCATCCGATGACTTATTGTCGATCCAGGCATCATGTCCTGACCTTGAACACGCAAGAATTCAACCATCTACTAGGAGAGGGGGGTGGTAGACAGATTTTTCTACCCCACCATCGGCAGCGCAGGTCCTTCAGTAGGTCTTTGAATCTGGACTTGCAAGATCTCTTCCTATATAAAGATAATTTAATATTTCCTTCTGGTCACGCTGAAGACTAGGACCGGATAGAAGCTCACCGGGAAGCTGTCTAGGAGGAAACGACGTCTTCCATAAAAAGACGTCATTTTACGCGCAAAATTTATTTAAAAGGCACATGTCTCAGCACCGGAAAGTTCAGGGGCTCTCAACTGTTGCGTGCATGGAGAGCATGGTTAGGGTATTTTTATGCTTTCTCAACTAGCAGACGGGCTGAAACACGGACACCGGACCCAACTCTCTGAAGGCTTGAACAATGAACAAGATACCCCAGGGGAATCTTGTAAACGGACAAATATGTCCACGGCGGGTGTGGGCACTGCACGATCTTTCTGCATATAAAATTGTAAACCAATGTTTACTGGTCTAATTTGTGCCAGAGCAAATGCATAAGGACATGCGTGACCTACCAGCCGTAGCTCGAGGTCTGTCCGGAGCAAGGGACTCGATGCGAACAGGGTCCGTAGGTTCCAGCTTGGTCGGGGGGCTTCTCGACGTTACTGGAGGAGAGAGACGTTGTGTTGAAATTTGACGTTCCGCCGCCTGAAGCAAGAGAGGTCGCGCCCTCACACCCTGGTACTCACAACTCCAGTTCCCGGTACTGTCTAGGGCTTCCATGTTCACCGTGTATTTTACCAGAATCGTGGCGGAGTTAATGATTTGATATTCACACGACTCCACCACGTTGGCTAGTGTCTGAGGCACCTTGCAGATGGCCGCGCTGCCTTCTCCTTCAAATGTGCAACTGGGTATACAATCGAAGTAGCAGATGGAAGTTGGCACCTGAAAGGGTAGGGAGGAGGATGGTCGAGAAGTTTAGGGGGGAAATCCTCCTTAGTCCGATTTGGTCACTAATTTGCGGACAATTTTTATTACCGCAGTGCCAGCAAAGGCCTTAAAGTGCGTGTGTGTGTGTGTGTGCTGGACTTCGAAATACCTACCAAAATGTTTTTACGTGCTGTAAATAGTAAAAACTGCGCATTAGATGGTGTTTTTGGTCAGCTGTGCTAGAAAAACTTGAGTATACACCCATTATGTAAACTGTGTGCATCTTTTTTAGCTGTCGCCCACGTCTAGGACAAAGACACCTGCGTGCCATGGAAGTGATGCGTAAATGTTCACTTTGCAGTTGTGTCTTAATTTAGAACATGTGGTTTATTTAAGATCAGTTTTTGGAAGCGGAACGATATCTCCATTTTGACAGTTCACACAGGTCTACACCTGCTGAAACACAACCTCCGTTCATGCAGAAGGGGAGTGCCCCAAAGACAAGGCAGACTGGAACGGCCGTTTCTGGGCTATTGACCTTCGTTGGCCAGCTGCGGCTAATCCCAGGTTTGTGGGACCCAAGGTTTTTGAGCGTTATTAAGTCAAACGCACTTGCCCTCTTCTGCACATATCATCGGTCATCGTGCGACTGTCTACGCACAGGCGGTCATCACTATCAATCTCCCTTCGTGATGATAAACCCAAAAAATCTACTCAACAGGCACACTACTCTTTCCCTAACCCGTTTTAAACCCTTATCCTTAATCCAATATTCATCCGTCATGTTATAGATGAGCTGATTGGGGTTTGAAATGCGCCTGCATTCTTGAGATATCGATTAATTTGGGAACCGATTATAGTGCCATCGTACTTGAAAATTCATCTCCACCACGGAACTGCTAGGGCACCGAGTACTCTGTTTTTTATTTACCATTTTAGATATGGGTTTATTTGGTTTCGTTACTCAGGTTTTCGGTAACTTTTTCAAAATCATTCTGCCGCTTTTCTCCAGTATTTCAGTATCCTTTGTCAACCAACTACGCATGAAGTCCGTTTTGAATGCTCTCGAACATATTATTGGGAAACACATACCCACTTATTACGTTGCGATGATGTTTCGAACATTTTCTATCGCCACATCATCAAGGAGCATTGCAGAGAAAACGTGCAAAAGTCCGTCCTTTTCATGTCCAGGTTACGTTAATCTTACAAATAATACGGTCGAAGAAAAGCTTTAACAAAGTTTTCAACCTGCACACTCATCTCACTAACAGACCTCATACAATGTGCTATCACTTAACGATAAAGTAAATTCTCACGATCCTACATGTCAGTATAACAAAAGATGGCGTTCATAAAATGTATCAGTAAACAAGAATCTACTTGCACGACTTCTGGAGAACATTAATAAATCAAGCAACGTGACTGGTCAGCTCAGTGAAAGTCTTAAAAACTGACAAACTCTCTATTTCGAAGTAAGAAACTCGAAGCACAATTCAACTGCCTCTAAACCAATCACGAAGTGCGATTTTTAAATTTATTTTTATGTTGGAATTAGTGTGAAATTCATAAATCAACTTTGGCCTATTTCTTGAAATGTCAGCCGAAATTAGACTAGAATTAGACTAGAAATTAGACTAGAAATTAGACTAGAAGGCAATACTTATGAAAGATAATAATACTGATCTCCATGAAGCACGAGCACCAGCTTTAGAATGAGCTTCGTTTCGCCGCCTACAGGACTACGTTAGGTAAAGAGTAATTAGTTAACTAGTATGCCTTTATCCTATCTATTTCCAATACTATTATACTGCATAGAAACCGTGAATAAATATTCTTCCTTGCCGCCGTTAGGCGGCAAATCACATCTCCTCTTTTGTATTTGAAAAAGTGGTATCTTTGGGTTTAATCAAATAGTTTTGATCCCCTAATAACTTCAAACCCTACCGACAGTCGCACTTGCGCTAGGGATTTCTAAAGGACACATTACATGCCTCACGTGTGGGGAGTGTTTCAAATTTATTCACAAAGGGTTCATACATTTTTACAATTGGTGTGGGCCATTCTATTTATCTCATAAGCAGCACGAACACATATGATGTGGTATGAATGGACGATTCACAGTCTTAAAAAATCATATAAATAACCGTCTTTTAAATCAAAAAATACCCTTTCTTCAAGTTTTACATTTTACAGAATACGCAGTTTACTACCAAATATTTTTAAGAAGTAATGATTTTAAGTATGTTTCCCACGAATATAGTTGGATCTGTGTTGGCACTGAAAATTAATGGCAGAAGCTCACGCTACTTAGATAATCGTTCTTTACCGAGTGCGGTTTTTGCGGGCGATCAAAAAGAGGCTCATTCCAAAGTAGATATGCTGGCGGGAGTGAAATATTTTGGAACTTTACTGTTTGATGCTCATTATTAAAACCCCATCTCAGTAATTCTTCCTACTTGAAAGCATACTAGATTTTTAGTTAATATATCCCAGGATGGCCCGATACTATACAGAATACATTAGCTGCAAAGCATATCAATACAAATCGAGCAGGCGCTACCATTAGTCCGTTTTGAATCCTTAACCAAGCGTATTTTTCGGCTGAAAAGTCTTTGTCAGTAAACAGGCATGTCTGTCGAACCTATCGACACTTATTGTGGGATATGCTTAATTATCGTTGTGTATTTTTAGGCCATAAAATCTATGCGACCCTAACTGGTGCATGCAAATCAGAGCCACTGAAATAAAAAAAAGAGAATGTAATAAGCGCAACAAGGCCAGAGCAGTTATTATCTTGGCACACTTTGGCCTCGTACGAGTAGGATGGCTTTATTCAGTAAATGGGGCGAAGACGACTCGACCGCCGGATAAAGAATTTTATTCGGCCGGTGTTTGAACTTTACACTCAGAGGACGGCTGGAGGAGATGTTGCACGCAGAGGGGCTGCAGCGTCTGCGGGGTACAGTTGATGCACAACATACTAAAATTAACGGCTTCCGCGTGTCGTCGCTGATGTTCATTGGTGGTGCGACAATTGCCTGTTTTTGTCTCTTTCGCCTGCTTATGTTCCACAAGCTGATCATCGACTTGGGTGATTGGCATGATAATGACTCGGCCAGTAGGCTTGCAGGCAATGTCAGTCGAACCAGTTGTCAGTCGCTGTGGCCGGGTCTGACTAATTACTCTAACAGTCAGCATGATAATCGACCAGAGGGTGCGCGGCTACAAACCCCCTTGCAAATGCGAAACAGTTCAAGGCTAATATTGGGCTTGGAACTTCAAAAGGACCGCCTAATAAGACGACCATATGAGAGGAGACTTCAGCTGTAAGAAGCACTGGGCATGTTGATTGAACGAGGGTCTGAGGCTAATCGCGAAAATCCTTTTATAAGGTTTCCGATAACTGAACAGATTTTTGGGGTAAGGTGATACCATACTAACGGTACAGGTACTAGCCAAAAGCCCATACACGCGTGTTTCACCGATACTCTGCTGCTGCATGGCACGGCCGCGAGGGGTTCGGCTCGTCAGTGGGTTCCCCAGCATTCCCCGTCTGTTTTGTGGTAGATACTTCAATTTAGAAATTGCCGCCTTTTACTTTCCTCAGAACTAATCTACGAAGATGGAGTAAGTCAGTTTATTCAAGGTCTATAAGCTCAGATCGAGAATTTTATACAAAGACCTTGAATAAACTGACCTACTCCAACTTCGTATATTATTTCTGAGGAAATTAAAAAGCGATAATTTCTAAGTTGGATTACCTACCAGAAAGCACGCGGGGAATGCTGGGGGACCCACTGACGAGCCGAACCCCTCGCAGCTGCGCCGTGCAGTGTCAAAGCATCGGCGAAACAGGCGTGTATGGGCTTTTGGCTAGTACCTGTGCTGTTAGTATGGTATTACCTTACCCCAAAGTACACTACTAGCCGCCTGTCAGCAGTTAATGAATATTCCGCGGTTACCCGCTGTGGCTGATGAACTTTGGTCCAAATATTCATGTATAAAATTCTTGGTCTGAGCCTACAGACCTTGAATAAACTGATCTGCTCCAACTTCGTAGATAATTTCTGTGGAAATTAAAAAACGAAAGTTAATCAAGGATCCACCAGATAACTGCTAGACTCGCCCAGTTAGTAGTTTTTTGACAAATGTGAATAATTAAGTTACCCCGGCCGGTGTGTTTCATTGTTCAGATGGTTAGAGTTTTTATTGTACCCAAGCCTTGCCCTTACCTTGGCGGGTTTGAATATCACAGAGATTGCCGTTTTTTTCAATTACGTCCGCGAATGCTCAATTCATTCAGAGAGGCTAAATATGCAGCAGAGTCGTGACAGATATAATTTAAATGTTTGTAAAAACGCTAAGACTTCAGCAAAATGGTGGTCTGTTACTTTATGAGCACAGTAAACCATAGTGGAACATGGCATTCTTATCTGATTTTCAAACGCTTTTACTTTTTATTTAAACCGACGGTTTTCAAAAACGTCAAATAACTACTTCATGCTTGCAAAAAACGATTAAACTCCTAATTTATTCCTGCCCACGCAAAGTAAATTTCATTTGTATAAACATAATAAGACAATGCCAGAGGAAATTCCAACGTTTAAAAGGAATCCTCTCGTCGAAAAAACCAAATGAAATGGAAAAACCGACAAAAATTGCAGCACTGATATTCTAAAGTTCACACGACAATCCGTAATTTGACCATATAGGCAAAGGCTAATGCAATGGAAAATGTTTTATGTGGTCCTTAAATGTTAGCTCTGTAATGTGTGTGCAACAGAAAGTTCAAGGGGTACCTCAAATGCTTGGTATTCTGTGTCTTGGTTGAACGCGTTACCACGAATTCGTTTTTCCTTTTGCTTTATTTTATGAAATATAAACCTCAAATTTTTCGACGAACGCTAGTGCTACAACATACATGCAGGCTACTTCCTCCTTCAACGATTATTCTAGACTGCATTAGCAAAACTGCAAATAACCCTCGTCGAGAGGAAATTCGCTCTCCAGCCAACTTAAATTAGGCGAGACCTGATGCGGATAAGAGAGCAGATTAATAAAAAAAGAGGTCTTTCTGCTTCAAAAATTCTGTCATTTAATTCTGTTTACATTTATGTCACAAGATACGGCAGTTCAGTTTATAAGCAGCACTGTATCTGAATACACAAATAATTTCTATCAACAAGCAAATATCACATAACTAACCGCAAAGAGGCTCACCAGTAAGGGGTCGCTGAACTACTGAGAGTTTGGCGAGATAATTTTTGCAATATTTTTCTGATAATATGGAATTTGACCCTGAAACGAACACAGCTGTAACCGTTTGAACAGTCTTCTATTATGGTCACTCTGTGAGGCATTGTAAGTTGTAGAAAGTTGCCTAAGACAGGGCAAAGATTGCTAAAACGACCTCGGACAAATACAAATTGGAGCTTTTTATGTTGGCGAGTCAAGAGTTACGTTTCTCAGGTAATGCATTAGGAGGCCAAATGTTTCACTTGTTTCTCTCGCATTGGTCTTTAGCTGGGGATTCTCTGGTTAAACACTTTTGAAGATCCAAACTATCACAGCATGCTTGGCAGTTGGTCAGGAACTTATCCAACGCAGGGTCTTGTTGTGTAAATGCATTTCCCAAAATAATTAATGTACATGCTTAGGTGAGTCTGCAACTTTAGCCATTTACACAAGAACGCCTGGGGAACCCCCCCCCCCCTTTGGCGAAGGTTTTCAGTAACCGTCATACGTTGATGGTTTTATAAACAAAAACTACGGAGTCGGAGGTGGTCCCCCGAGATCCAAAGGAGGCTCTGGGACTTGACTGATTTGATTGTCGCCATGTGGAAAGGATATACTACTCCACACAAAATGGCATGACCGTGCCTGCTTCTTGTGGCCGCACTCCCACACCGAAGTGACTCTGAAGACTTTCCTTTTGCTTTTTCGACACTCTGAAAACCCCAAAAATCATTTTCGCTCCGGCCAACGCATATCAACCCAAGGAAAAGTGAAGGTGATTGTCTTCAAATATCATTTTGCATTTTAAGAAAATGTACATATCTTTTATCAGTTAATCGTCTGCCATGCTGTATATCACACGTTCTTGAGGGATACACAGCCCCCAAATTACGCAAAATGTTTTCGAATACGGTTTTGATTATGCGGTTTGAGTACTTTTCATATGCGAGGACATAAAAAGTGCGCTTCAGAGCACTCGCATTTTTAGGAATGACTTGTATAACTCGCGGCGGAAGGTGGGAACAGGTTGGTTTGGGCTAAATTCAGGTTAAGGTAGAATTAGGATTAGGTTAAGAGTTAGGCTGAGGGTTACGGTCAAGACTAAGGATAGGATTACGTAATTCGTTACTCTAATGACAACACATTTACTACTTAAAAGCCCAGACACGCGTGTTTCGTCGATTTTGTGCCATTGCCTGACGCAGCTGCGAGGAATTCGACTCAACAGTGGGTCCCCCAGATCTCCCCGTATGGTTTCTGTTATATGAATACCAGTTTCACCTTGCCTTGTCTAATTTCTGAGGAAATCAAACAAGACTAAGGATAGGGTTAGTGTTGAGAATGGATTTGTGATCAAGATTAGGGTTACGTGTAGTATTAGGGCCAAGACAATGGGATATTTGCCCTGCCAGGAATTCACCGTTAGGCCATCTGTCGTACGTGGGCGGAGCGTCCCTATTCTTATGTCCCGTTTGGGGAGTCACATAAGCAAACCCCATCCTTTTCTTAGTTGACACGGACTTTTACGTTATCGCTAAATCCGGATTTTAAAAACACTTCACTTTTACGCGTGCAATGTTACAAACAACGCGTATTTGGTGTGTTCATTCAATTGAACGCCTTTCATTGGCAATTGTTTACTTTGGCAGAGGTGCTGCGGCCAGTTCCACAAATTCCAAGCTTTTTCTTTAATAAGATTACCAGCTGCATTTTATATTAAATACAATTTCTTTTCGAAGACATAAGCAGTATCTGTAGTAAGTTCGACCAGATGCCATGCACGGATACCATTGTTAGTAATTACTAAAATACTAGCCCTAACTGTTACATCCCAGATTGTTTGGCGCGGTGTAGTCTCACTGAAATTCTGCGAACGAATTCTTCTCCGATTCCCTCAAAGTTTTAGGCTTAGAAATTAGGCGTATCGGTCAGGTGCGCACTCGCTACCATTCGCAAGTCAGTAAGATCCGGGAATATGGCCCCATTCCCTGCCGTATTACAGGCGGTCTTGTCATACATTTCAGGGGAGATCGGTTTGGAAGGACTAGGATGATTAGACTTAGTGTTGGGATTGGGTTTAAGAGGGCCAGACTTCCAATTACGGTAACTGCTGGGGTTGGAGTTAATGTGAGAACACAGGAATAGGCAGGCTTCTGGGATTCAGCGCAGGGACACCTTTTATACTGGTTCTTCCATATTCCTCTGTGCGACTCGCATATATGCTCCCACTGACAGCCGAGTTACAGTAAGTGGGCCTGCTCATGAAGTCGGCCGAAATTTCGAAATGCGCTCTCGTTTCGAAAGATTAATTAAGTATGGATGTAAAAAGGATTCTCATGCAGTAAAATTCTATAATAATTAATTTACCTCGGGGTTCCTTCTTTCGAACGAACGTATTTCTGACTGCATGCAAGATATATACCCTGCAAAATGACTACTTAAGTGGCATGCAATTTTCTCATTGATTTTCGATGCCCTTAAAAGTTCAGTTATATTTCGTGGAAAAAATGCATAAACTGTTCATTCTTTTGCTCATTCGGTAGACAATTACGTCTTCTTCCAATTTCATACTCAAAGGAAGAGTATAACGCGGTTTTAAAAATTTCCTAATTGTGAGATTTTTTAATACCGTGAAATAACTGTTCATATGACGTCATATCTCAGCATTTACCAGTGGGGCTTTTAAAATTAACAATATGGATCAAATTCATTGCTAAATTTTATGAACCCGATGTAGTCTCCCCCTTATACCGTATAGAAATGTATGGATTTCCGTAGGTGGAAAATATACGGTTTGTAGTTCGGAAACCCTGAATGCAAGTGTAACGGCAGGTTGGGTTCAAAATCATTCGGGATTTGGAAAAGTTTTTGAAAACCAAATTATACTTTTGCTATAAGTATGAAATTGAAAGAAGACGTAACTGTCTATCGAATTGGCAAAAGAAGGAATATTTTTGTGCATGTTTTCCATGAAATATAATTTAATCTTAAGGGCATCGAAAACCAATGCACGCTACATAAATAGTCATTTTTTACAGAGTGTATTTTTGCATGCAGCCGCAAAGGCATTCGTTCAAAAGCTGACATCCTGAGGTAACCGAATTATTGTAGAATTGTGCTGCAAGAGGTTTAATTTTACAATCTACGTACTTAATCTTTTCAAAACGAAAACGCATTTCTGAATTTCGATTGGCATTTCATGAGTTAGTCCACCTATTGTACTGACGCTGTTGAAAGAGATTCACTGAGGTTCAAACACGGGAGGGACCCAAGGATTCACTACGTAGGCTTAATAGCGTATACACAGGAAT